GAGTTTAACCCGGAGTTCTTATGGGTCTTATGGGGGTTTATGGCGCTCTTATGGGGATCTTATGGGTGTTTTATGGGGGACTTACGGGGATTTTTAGGGGTGGGGGTTGCTAGACGGTTGCTATGGGGTTGCTAGGGGAGATTGCTAGGGGAGGTTGCTAGGGGCGTTGCTAAGAGGGTTGCAAGGGGGGGTTGATAGGGGATTGCTAGGGGGGTTGCTATGGGTAGCGTCCCCTGATCTTTCAGCGACGCCTGAATATGAGGGTCTTATGAGAGTATTATGGGGGTCATAGGGGTGATAAGTATGATAAGGGTAATGAGGGTCTTATGGGGACGTATATCATCAGTTAATGGCAAAGTGCAATGAAAAGGCAATATCCATTCGGAAGAATATTGCTAATTCATTGGCAAAAATAGGCACCATAATTGACACAATGGAAAGCAATTGCCCACTTATTTTCAAAGATTCTGTTGAAATTTTGTTATGATATAAATAGTATCATTTTTTCATTTGATTTATACAAGAATTTCAGGAATCGCTTATGGTATTCGAAAGTTTGTTGACTTTCCATGATTGTGGAAAATACACTTTCGTTGATTATTTGAATAAAAGAAAAAGGTTCAAATTCATTTAAGGTTAATCTATTTATTTAATGATTTTAAGGATTCATGCAAACCTCTTATGAGCAACTAAAATATCATTTTTTTAAAAACTGATATTTTAGTTATCTGGGGCCCATAACCCATGTCCTCTCCAGAAAACCCAGACAGAAATTACAAAAGAGAACAGGTGTAGACTTTAAATAATGACGTTGCTAGTATTAATATTCCATTCTCATCTTCTTCGTAATCATGATCGTCAGTAATTTTGAAGCATATTATTGATCAAACTGCGATTATTATAATGCATTCAATTATATTCATAATAATCGACAGCCATAACCTACACGTGGCTTATGGAAATGACAAACCTGTTAAATACAGAGCGTAGAAAGAAGCCAATTGTAATAGTTAGAAAACAATTCAATGAAAATATAAAAGCGAAATGAAAACATGAAATGGACCTTATAAAATGAATGCTACAAAGGAACAATGAGAGTGATGAAAGAATAATGAACAAAAAATAAATAAATAAATAAAAAGTTCTATAAGAGAAAATGATAATAAGAATAATAATAATACAAAATTCAACTGCAGAGAAAATTTGACACAATTGTTTGAAAAGAAACTTATTCAATTTAATAAAATAAAGTAAAATATCGAGATACGCGGTAGCGTATCGACCAAGAAAAGTTTTGACCGACTGAGCAAAACATCAGGCTGAGCGCACCGCGTATCTATACACGACAGAACTTCCCCCTCCGCTACCTCTAAATGATTTACATTCGGTATAATGAAAACGGGACGACAAATCGGGAAAATGTCGTTAGTTACATTATATAAATCGCCTATGAGCTTTTCAACTGTGTAACTATGGTATTTTTTGGATTAATAGTAAAAAAGATACGCGCATAGCAACAGGTAGATATTCACATTCTCGCGATTCACATTATAAAGTCGGAGAATCAAGTTGTAACGTTGGCAGCGCCGGTCCAACTGAACCTCATATCCAACGTTGAAGTGTTGCCACCAGTGCATTTGAATGTGGGTTGTGATGTTGTTATGGAGAACAACGGAAAATGTTCTTCTTCACATTAAATCACTTATTAGAATCAAACGGAAAATCGACTCGGTGTTCTATTTTGTTTTCTCTCGTCGAAAATTCGAATTTCATCCCGCCATATCTATATTCATATGCGGACCTCGGACATAAAGGTAGTTTATGCACTGTTTGTGAGGACGGGAGGTTATCGGTTTATGTTTGGAGTGTGACAAAAGGGAGATGTTTCGAAAATATTATGTGATCAAGTATTAAATGTCCGTGAATAGTTAAATTTGAAAAGAAAATATTATTTTTCTCCGAGTGTAACAGAAAATGTTTTTATTCCGTGGAAAAAAATTCACTAAATTAAGTGACAGTGAAATGCGAATAATTTTGTGATTATTTAGAAAAAAATAGTAGGAGACGGTGGGATTCAATGGACACTTTGAACCCTTTCCAAAATGTTGATGTCTTACTGAAGTGTTGATGAAATAGATTTTTTTTTCAAATTAAAGTACAGTCAGCCCCTTTGTAATAAGCTTAGACTGAAGTCAATCGATAAATTTGTTCCTTGGTTATAAATATTGAAACAAGAAGTCAGAAGAGTCCATTCCACCCAATGTGTATCTAATATTTTTTTTTAAAACAAAAAAAAACAAAAACAGATATTTTCAAAAACAATTCTTTGTGAACATTTTGTTCGACTATTTCTATAAGGAAATCAATTCATCTCTACGAAATACAATCCATATAGGAATCATCAGAGCAAAAATTGAATGAGGAACCAAATCAAGTCAGAAAATTATTAATAGATGATTAAAAGTTGAAATTCGGTGGAGAGAATAAATCTGGAGTAGGACTGTTTATTTCCCTTCAATTGTTGATTCAAAAAATGTTCTATCTTATGAAAAATGAATCAGTTAAATTGAATTGAAAAGAACAAATTTCACCGAATGTAAGAACAGTCCTTGCTTATTTTGAAAAAAATAATGAAATCTGCCTAAAAACACAAAAATAAATGTTTTTGTAAAACAACTGGGCCAAGAAAAAGTTTTGTTTGATTTCTACTGGGAAGGTGAAGTTTTTGAAAAATACATAGAAATAAAATTGGAAGCCAAGTTAGGAATTTTGAATAAATGGTGATAGTGCACAATCAGGTTTCTATAAGAAAAATTGTTCTCAATGGAATAAGTATTCTAAAAAAATTCTCCATGAAATAAAAAATCAGTAGGAGCAGGACCAACGTTCTTGGCGCGGAGTTTTTCAGTTCACTGTCTGTATCAATCTACTCCTCCATCCTTTGATCCGCGCCAAGAACATTGGTCCTACTCCTACTGATTTTTTATTTCATGGAGAATTTTTTTAGAATACTTATTCCATTGAGAACTATTTTTCTTATATTATAGAAACCTGATTGTGCACTATCACCATTTATTCAAAATTCCTAACTTGGCTTCGTTCTTTATTTCTATGTATTTTTCAAAAACTTCGACTTCCCAGTAGGAATCAAACAAAACTTTTTCTTGGTAAATTATATACAGTAGACTCCCGTTAGAGTCACACTAGTTATAGTCGCATTTTCTCTCATGTCGATTTTTTGGCCCGCGAGCGCTCCCTCCACTCCATTACCTACGAAAGGCTTTAAATGAATGCTCCTGTTTTTCCTAGAGAAGTCATTGTTTTTGATTTCTCGGAAATTCGCAAAATAAAATACTGAAAATATGAATTTACGATGGGTAGACATTTAGTCCGCTCCTGATCGTCACGGAGAGAGGTTACACTTTTATTGTGGTAAAATAAGTTAAAATTTGATTAGTTAGTTGATCGAGTGAAAATTTAAATGAAGTGAAAAATGGATCCACATGACAATAATTAATTATTAATAATAACTAATCAATTTTTATTTTTATTGGTCATTATAATATCATAATTGTTATGATAATTATTGTTATATTTTCATTTTTTCATCAATAAAATGAAAAGAAAAATTCAGTATTTTTATTTTATCAATGTCGATTCTGAGAAATGACGCCCGGAGTGAGCGCGTGGTGGAAGGTGAATACAGTCGCATTCCCCGAATTCACTTCCCCAACAGCCCCTTGAGCGTGACTCTAACGGGAGTCTATTGTACGGAAGAAAAAAAATCCAACATGACCATTCGGAAGCATATTGCTAATTTATTAGCAAATAAAGCTATATTATATGGTATACATCGGTAATTTCCCACTTATTTGTCCTTATAAAAAAATGAATAATCATGAAAACTCTTGTTTTTTTTGGAAGAAAATGGATTTTTCCTATTAAAAAAAGCAAAAAATAATTTAAAAATCGGATAATGCATGCAAGATGATATTGCAAACAGTTTTGGAATATGACCAGGAAAAGATGATAACCATCGGGGAGAAATCAATTAAGAGATGACGTAATTTAATTGATTACAACTACTTGTACTGATTTCCGATAATTTTTCCTTCCACTTGTAATGTGAATCGTCGCGATATGCATTTCCTTGGAAACGTTTGGACATTACACTTTACAATAATTTACGACTCATTCCTTTGAAAAATTGTTCACCAGGCCTGTCTTAGAAAAAGACCCATTTTATTACAATTGTTGACCTTTCTTCTACGAAGTATAAAACTTATCCTTTTCCATGTAAGAAGTATTGAATGAGTTACCAGCGCCCAAAACCCCGGCCAGGCTGCAGCACTCAAATTGGTCGGTGCACTGAGTGCCGGATACGTCACACAAAAAACTAACTTCATAAAAACTTCATAACTTCATTAAAAAATTGATATTTTACGAGCCAGTTGATGTCATTAAACCAAAAAATAATAACAACGTTTTTAATAATTTTTCTCACAAAATAGATTTTTAAAATATTTTTCACGGCAGAACTCACGAAACTACAACCATTTTTCTAATTGTTTATTTAAAAAATACCAATAATATTTACTCTTTTCGATCAATTATTTTTAGATAACTAATCATCTTTTCTCAACAATAAAGCCCTTCGGAAATTTTCCGATTAAATGCATAGCTTTTCAGATATAAATATTCAAAAGCATGTCTATTCGTTATTCACGGGAATTTTACAATTGTTATCACTTTAACAAAAAATACATTAGGCTGTTAATAGTATTTCTGGTTCCGTTTTGTGATATATGCAATTTTCAAAAAAAAAAATTTTTTTTACCTCCGTTGAAATTGCGTGAATGACCCATGTGCATGATTTTGTCAATGGCTTATTCAGGAATCGAGAGGGAAAAATTAGTCATGATTTATAAGAATGCTGTTTTTCATTAAAAAATGACATGTACCAATGCAGTAATTAAATACAAAAATTGACATTATTCTAGATTAATCAACGGTCGAGTAACATATTACGAGCTCGGGGGTATCTACCACCGTAAGTCTCTCTGGTCCCTTTGGTGCACTCAGATCGAGGTCCTCCAACTGCAAAAAGAAAATGGAAGTTCCCTCTCTGAAACCACAGCAGCGAGTTCATCAAGTTCCACCACCCTATACATTCTATCTTCCGACGGGGATTCCCGCTCTTTCCCAAAAAACTCGGGGAATCTCCGAGGTTGTCGCCTGTGGACGTACTACGGTGGTGGTGACGGTCAGTCCCCCGCCTGGCCCCGCAAAGATATATATCTCGGCCCGACCTACAATGAACTCGGTCACGGTCTCTATGCTCCAGTCCCCGTGCGTTTCGCAGGTGCCAGTTTCGACGACCTTCAAGTTCAATATGAATTGCGTCCAGTGTCCCTCACTCCTCTTCAGAAGTCTAATCATAGCTGGCCGCCACCGAAATCCTCCAACTCAAAACAACGCCAGAAAGACAAAAACGTCGGTCTTTGTGATGTTCTCTACGTGCACAGACACCCATCCCCCCATCGCCATCTCGGCGACTATGGAAATTGTAAGAGAAACGATTTCAAGACCTCCAAAAAACAAAAAAAACATCAAGAATCCAATGACGCTCTCGTTCCGAAATTATCGAGATTTGGATTTGGAATCCACGAGAATTGCTCATCTGGTCTTTATCTGGCCCCTCACGAAGGAGATCCTGACCACCTTGTTAAAATAAAGCCGGCTTACAAGCTGATGGACCCCTACCAATTAATCGAGAGTGGAGTGGAGATCTGGGAGAGGGCGAAATCTATTCAATCAAGTAGCGGCTCACGACATTCATTCAAATCCTTCAGAAGATATGGGTTAGCCACCTGCCCTCATTTCTTATTCGGGTTGGGTCCCTGGTCTGTGAACCCCGGCGACAAAATTTCGGTCCAAAAGAGAAGATCTTCGAGCCTCGTGAGGATCAGGAAACAGCCGATTGATGACGAGATGAGACTTGCTGTCCCTAAAAAGCAGTTGTGCACTAGTGTTTCGATGACTTCTCTGGAACCTGAGATGTCTTCAACTGCCACTAGCACAAGAGGAAGAATTGTGATATTCTGGACACCCGATTACTGGTACAGACCCCGAGCTGCAACCACTGTTTACAGGGAGTTGAGGGACCACTTGGCTTGTCTCCACAATTTTCATTCGGAAAAGGACAAAAGTTGTAAATGGTCTTTCTTCTTAAGAAGGAAACCCTTTTCGGATGGGAACAAGATGGAGGGAAGGAAGATGTGTAGTAAGAGCAGTTGCATTCTGAACAAGATATTCTCAAGTCGAGACTTGAGGAACAAAAGGAAAGACCTCAACAAGTCTGAAGAGGAGAGGACAGTGAGTCAACTGAGACGATTATTGAAACCAAATTTCAAAACGACGATTTGGGATCTAGATAGCACGACATTGGCGAAACAATTGACACTGATAGATCGAGATTTATTCCTGAGGATTCCATCGTCTGAAATTGAGATAATAATCTTCCAAAAGTCCTCCAGAAATGCGCCAAACATGGGAGCCTGGGTTGCCTTCAGCCATCGTATTTCTTCGTTAACTTCTAGTGAGATTCTAATGACTAAGAAATTGGAAATGAGGACGAGGATGTTAGCGAGACTCATCAACTCTGCTAACAAATGTTTCTCGATGGGGAACTTTAATTCATCCAGATCTATTATCGCGGGTCTCCAGAGTCCACCGGTTTACAGGTTAAGATCTACCTGGAGTTATTTGAAGACTCATCATGCTACGAGATACGAGACCTTTACGAGATTATGCAGGGTTTTTCAGAATTGTAGAACGGATATTTATTTTGATTCGTGGGAGAAGGCTCAGAGTCGCCCGCCAGTGCTTCCCTATATCGGTCATGTGTTAATTAGAATTCTAGGACTGGATATTGATGAAGAGGTGATTGCGGAGGAGATGCCGAGACGTTGGACACAGAAGAATTATGACTGCGGGTGTACGTACCTTTATCAAGCCTCTGAAGAGGGAAACTCCATGAAGAATCATTCACAGGCGACACGTCATACCATTTCTCCAGCTGAGAAGAAATCTGAACAGAGCTTGGTGAGGAGGATTCTGTCGACGAGGATGGTGAGACTCATTCAGGGAAAAGCTGCTAATCGAGGAACAATTGATGTCTTCTGGGCAGCGAAGCAACTGATGACTGCCAGAAAGTTTTTCGATCATTGGCAGACTCGAGTTCTGACCACGAGGATCATCAAGGAACACGAATTGAAGAGCAGGAATGTGGATTGGAGAAGGAAGAGGGCGCAAGAGGTGGGGGTATGGTTGAGTGACTGTCAGAGGCTTGCAAGAGAATATGAATTTCCTGGAAACTCATTGGCATGGGAATTCTTGTTGAAGGCTAGGTATAAGGAGAACAGGGAGAACTTTTGGATTAGTTTGAAACTAGAGCCGCCTTTGGGGTGAGGATTCTATCGGCATTGATGACTCAAAATGAAAATATTGTCATGAAGACAGTTTGGCGATGAGGTAATTAGAGCCGAATGATTCATGTGTACTGGAATTTATTCATTGCAATACTGTGTTCGATCATCTGAATCAAATTATTCAGCGAGATATTCTAGGATGATTGATGACATAGCTTTACCTCTCTCACAGTGTGTCCTATACAAATAAATGATTGAAAACAGTATCTTTAATTCGACTTGTTCGAGATCATTCGCAAATAATAATCCATCACATCCATGAATTAATCCTCTGACAGGAAATATTGTTTTTCCCTTCGCGTCGACACAATTCCCCTGTTCTGGGGGACCTCGCAAGCTGCCTTAGAGAATTATTTGACTTTATTCGTCGAACATTAATTTATTTATTATATTTAAGAATTTTAATTCACTTAATTTATTGTTCACGCACTCTAATTTGAATTTCGTTGAGGCATAAGAGGGCGGCACAGCGTGATGGCTGATATCCTCGTATCCAAAATCCAAATACAGTGCCGTAATACAGCACTCCGAGGGATAAAGTTCTGCGGCCAGAGAAACATTTGTAGCATCAAAACTGACTGTTGTTATTGCGGGTTCATTGCATACTCTGTGAATAATGACGAAAGATGAATAAAACTGTGTAGCATTGCGCTTCAATCACCTGTAAATTTTATCCAAAGCAATCAAACGACAAACCTAATCTTCTCCATACAATAACTCGCCAAAACTATCCCACACGTTATTGAAAAAACTGTTTGATCGACGGCCGATAATGTAGCCACCGTTATTACCTTGAGAACCTCAATCGGAGAACACCGGTCAGCAAATTCAAAAACTACTACGTGTCCGAGTAAAAGACTAAATTAAATTGTAATTAAGAATATTTAAATTATTATTAAGATTCAACGAATCAGTGAAAGAAACTAGATTGTTCGTACAATCAGAATTCCACATGTTCAAAATGACACACAATGAATTATAAAATTATCAATAGAAATTCACTAAACTTGTTCAGCGAATACGCTGAATGTTTTCGTTGAATTTGTTCATATATGGTACCAATCAACTTAATACTTTATAATTTTTTTATTCAAGCACAAACTTATGGGTTACATAGCAAACAACTTAATATTAACGAAATAGCCTCCAAACCTTCACATAGTACATTCGTCACATCAATTAGATGACTTCATTTGTGATTCCTACCTTTCCGAATGCATTACCAAACTTCCCTTTACATAAAATCCAATAAAACATTTGTTTCTTTTGTACTGTTGGACAGCGGGAGAGACAGAGAATTTTTTCACCGAATTTTTTCGCATGTTGACTCCTCGTTTTCCGCATCTATCACTTCTTATGGTCACACGAGTAATCAAAAAATCTGGCGCAATTCATTCACGACTTCACCACAGAAGCAGTACAACGAAGCGTTGTTAGCGACAGCAACGTTCTGATGCAAAACTGCACATTCCATGCAACTATACACGTCGTTGCAAGGGAGAGAATTGATGTTCGGAACTCGTTGCTCACAGAAGGGACATACGTAGTTTGCTACAATTTTTGAGATAATAATATTTAAAAAAAAAACAAACTTATTAGTCTCGATCACATATGAAAAAATTCTACTGAGGTGTACTTTTCGGTATTCTTTCATTTCATGATTTATTATACATAATATTAAGATCATATTTATACACAGTGTATCTGTATACGTTATTTCTACAAGACTAGAACTAGGAAAAATACCAGAATTTCATGAGGCTAATTTCTTTCTAATCATCATTATTATTGGTGCTATGAAATTTCGATAATACCAATTGTCATGGAAATCATTTGGAATTTTGTATCGAAGTACCCTAGAAGAACGTTTTACAAACAAACTCCAAAAGTTTTTATTTGTATGTGATCTTCGAAGATAATCCCTTGCTCGATAAAATACATACCGACATCGTAGATGTTACGAGGATCACTATTGACAAATCCGTCAACGTCATTTATATTGGTCAATGGATGATTGTTCAAGACTCTCAGATAAGATATTGCAGAATTCAGGAACGAGGCGATGTTGAAGGTATCGATATTGAGGAATTCCCAAGCTTTATGTATAGCTTGCTGAAAGGCATTACCAGCAGCTCGCGGATTTTCTCTTACCAGGTAACCCATTTGCATGGAAGTAAATTCTCGTTTGGTCGTTCTCACCAAGTCGCTCATAGACGCTAGAATATAACAAAATATGAATTCCTAGAATAATTGAGATCTCAGGATGATGTATCATGTATAGTTCTTCTTGTGTTTGAGTGGCTTCATGGCAAATTCTTGAATCATCAGTAGAATCGTGGAAGCCTCTAAACAGGGGACAGCGAACATGTAACTGGCGATGTGTTAAGGCTTTTTTTGCCATCAATACATTGATGGCTGGCTTGCAAATGGTTTTAGCAAAATATCTTCATGAAATCATTTCTTTAATCCTTATTTGCTTATTATTTCTATTAAAAATCATCGCTGTGTTCAAAAAAATTGTGTTGACTTCTTAATTTAACTTTTATCACTTCATCCTAGTAGTTTTTATATTGAGAGTATTCACTCCCATGACATTTTTACTTCCGAATGGGAGCATTGTAATCGTTTAAATTTAAGTTTTGGATTTTTCGTGATATATCGACCCATTATAATCCAAAAAGTCTGAAAATGCAATTTTTAGACCGTATCCGTACGTATGTATGTATTGTAACGTGTTATTTTTTATTTCGACCGTTCAACGGTAAAAATTTGAAACGTCCAGACGAGAAGTCACATTACCAGCGAAGCGAGAGTAAAAAACTTATTCATTATCTAATTTCTGTTGAATATTTTCTTTTTGATTGTATCGAGCCCATATTCTACTGCTCATCGGATGACGTCGAGGGATTTGAAGCCTGGAAGGAATCTACACGGGGTTGGACAGAATATTTGAGCCTCGGAGAGAGAGAGTCCTGAAGTCAAGTTGCATGCAGGGTTTCGAGTCACGTCACATTCGAATGGATCGAATGATTTCCGCGTTAGAGGCAGTATGGTGAACGACCGAGCAGCGGTAACTGGTATAGGTACCCTAGTTGTAGCTGGTAGTGTCCCAGATGACTATCTTATGTTTTGGTGGGAAAACACTGGACTGACGTTGGACGTCCAGTGAACCATCAATTCTTTATAATAAATCGGTTGAAAATTTATTGTTGAATTTATGGCGAACACAATATATTTGTGGCGCTGGGAAAAATGATACGAGTATGTTTTGGACTCGTGAGTTCTGAATTGGTTTGGTTGAACCAATCAGGGAATGGTCAGAAGGTGTCGTCATCGCCGACCAATCGAATTGATGTTGTTGAAGGAGATGTGGTCATGATTGACAAATGGAATCGTTGCCAGTTGCAGAATTAGCGAACGCATGGGTTAGGGTCGCATGGCTTGACACTTCTCGTTTGGACGTTGCGAGACTAACTCTATTTTTCTGGTGTTGTGTGTCATCGGAAAAATTCTAACGATATAGAGGCCTGCCGTGGACTTGAAGGGACTCGTGCAAGGGGAATTTTCAACCCCCATTCATCTGAAGCGGACATATATTTTGGGTTCCAGACTACGGTGAGCGGAGAGCTGAACAGTTTCCAAGTTAATTTGTATTTATTAAGAATTCATTTTGTGTCATTCAATAAGACGCTTGGCGTATGGCGGTTTTGACGCTATTTTAATCAGTTCAATTCTCCTTTCGATTTCTTGCCCCTTGTTCGGCGGAACTGTTTTAGTTTCTCGATTTCAGTCATTTCGATTTCGCCTACTTTTGCATTTTTGAGGCATTAGATAATTTGTTTTGAAATCCATAATTAAATTCAGTGACATTTTCTGTTAATTGTATAACTCTCATTTTATCTAGCTAGTTGTCGACAGTCGGATGTGGATCTCTCGACAGCTAGCTGCTATTTTGATATTCTAAAATCATTCCGATATTTCCTGACGTCGGAACATTGAGTTAATTATTTCATTTTATTCGAAATCGAGGTTATTTCTTTTGGAAAACGGAGTTGGGATTGAAGCGTCGGTTTCACGTTCGAGTTTTCATTGTCGTGTGACCTTGTATGGGGTCAAGAGTTATTGTCTCTCGAGACAANAAGCCTGGAAGGAATCTACACGGGGTTGGACAGAATATTTGAGCCTCGGAGAGAGAGAGTCCTGAAGTCAAGTTGCATGCAGGGTTTCGAGTCACGTCACATTCGAATGGATCGAATGATTCCCGCGTTGGAGGCAGTATGGTGATGGACCGAGCAGCGGTAACTGGTATAGGGACCCTAGTTGTAGCTAGTGGTGTCCCAGACGACTATCTTATGTTTTGGTGGGAAAACACTGGACTGACGTTAGACGTCCAGTGAAACATCAATTCTTTATGATAAATCATTTGAAAATTTATTGTTGAATTTATGGCGAACACAGTATATTTGTGTCGCTGGGAAAAATGATACGAGTATGTTTTGGACTCGTGAGTTCTGAATTGGTTGGGTGAACCAATCAGTGAATGGTCAGAAGGTGTTGTCATCGCCGACCAATCAAATTGATGTTGTTGAAGGAGATGTCATGATTGACCAATGGAATCATTGCCGGTTGGAGAATTAGCGAACGCATGGGTTATTGTCGCATGGCTCGTGACTTTTCGTTTGGACGTTGTGAGACTAACTCTGTTTTTCTGGTGTTGTGTGTCACCGGAAAATTCTGACGATATCGAGGCCTGCTCTGGACTTGAAGGGACTCTTGCAAGGAGAATTTTCGACACCCGTTCATCTGAAGCGGACATATATTTTGGGTTCCAGACTACAGTGAGCGGAGAGCTGAACAGTTTCCAAGTTAATTTGTGTTTATTAAGAATTAATTTTGTATCCTTTGATAAGACGCTTGGCGTATGGCGGTTTTGACGCCATTTTAATCAGTTCAATTCTCCTTTCAATTTCTTGCCCGTTGTTCGGCGGAATTGTTTTAGTTTCTCGATTTCAGTCATTTCGATTTCGCCTACTTTTGCATTTTTGAGGCATTAGATAATTTGTTTTGAAATCCATAATTAAATTCAGTGACATTTTCTGTTAATTGTATAACTCT